GTCTATTTATTAATTTGCAATCCACTCCATTTATCTGGAATTAACATCGTATAACATTCCTATAAACCACCTCGCCAAATTATGTTAGCTCGAAGAATTTAATGTATGCACTATTCCAGAAGCATCATCTCATTTCTTCCAGTTTTTTAATCGAGAAAGATCGCATTTCCTCAGTTGAGTAATTGCAGATTTTCCAGATGAGTGTTCATGATTGATTCGTTAATTGTGAAAGGTTTGCAAGCTTATTCTATTTTAAAAGGATGTCAGTAAAGAATGCCATTTTTTTTTCTCGCAGTGTGCATAGGAGGCATGATGATTCGAAGATTCCAACCATAAACGATTTTTGAAATATGCGGACTGGTTCATATTTAATTATATCAACATTTGGGTAATGTACTAGTTCAAATTTTTTTCTAATATTTACTTAAAAAAACTTTTTCTTTAGCTGCGACGTATTATGTCTATAACAATGCTATTTCTGCCATTGCTCAACCGTTTACAATTAATTGTATTAACTGCGAATAAATTGACCACATTTATTGACGACAAAAAATTAACTGCGATTAGTCACTTTATTCACCAATAGTTTTGCCTATGGACTGGTGATGAAACGATTTGTTTGTTTATCTCATTCTTCTTGGTTTTTGATTCTGAAAGAATTATAAATTGTACTTTTTGAGCACTATCTACATGGTGTTGTATGTGAATACCATTTACATCGAATCAAATCCCTTCTGAACTTCTCTCCTAACAAACAGTCCCAAAAATATATTCTCTCTGATTAACATGTAAAGAAGAATAATTGAGTGACCAATTTTATTCGTCCAAGAATAAAACTTCATCAAACAATAAGTCTTCAGCAAACTGTTGCGCCAAAAAATCTAGCAAGATTTTCATAACAGAAAAGTATGAATTTATGAAGAAAAGATGCAGGTTCGTTTTCTTGAAGAGCCTTTAGTTTAAGTGCTTAAAACACTACTACCATAACTAGAAAGTACTGTTTATTCCTGTTCAAGTCTCTCAGATTTATACTAATTCAGGAGCTAAAAGAGGCGCTTAAACATTCACTTTAAAATCTCAAAATATATCTATGCTGCACAATATGAATGGCCTATTCAAAATCTTCCATGACTATTCCCTATCACTGTAAATCTTGTTGACATATATTATTTTCACACCTATATTTTCTGTGGAATAAGTTCTTATGTAATATTTAATAATAGAGCCATAGCTAATATGCAAGAAAAACAGAATTAATGAATAGGAAGCAGTTGTGCAAGAAATTTGAGCATATATTTTGCATAAAAAGACTAACATTATACTTCAGTGAGCGACTTTTAATTTACAAATACATTTTATTCGTCCTGTCTTTCATTTAACACATGACTTGGGAAGCTCTATCTGACGGTAATGGTTATTTCTTGCTACCTTTCCTGTTCTTTTTAACATTCTGAAGAAAAATCGTTGTAATTATTTTTTCTTAAAATCTCGTCTATTAAAATTCTCAGTCACGTATCCAAAAATTTAAATTCCGAGTAGTTAGTATTTCATTGTTGAAACTGATTTAGTTTTGAGCAGTGTTGTCAGTCACTACTGTATTACTTTCAGGTATGTAAATATCCGTTCCATTTGTCATCACTATTTTCATATTCACGCTGAAAGAAATTTGAACTATGCAATTCTGAGTGCCGTTACAATAATTCTAATCCTCTTAGAGATTTATTGACAGACAGAATCAGAAAATGGATTAAAAACGATTACTTTAAAATTCTGTGATAACGGATTAAATAATGATGCGTATCCATAAAACAAAAAAGCAGTCATTACATGAATTGCTCAAAGCAATTGTAAAACAGTGAAATGTAATTTAGTGGATAGTGTTTCATAGCAACAACAGATGTATGAGAGTTAAAAAGACAATATGCAATAACGCACAATAGCCACAATTAAGATATAGATGTAATGACAGTAATGTATACCACAACAATTTTGCAAAAATTAATGGAAATTAATAAACTAAATTTTATCAATAATATTAACACTAACTAGAAATCTACCTTGGGGTCTTAGGGTCCTAAGAAGTAATAAATGAACGTTTTAGAAATATATTGAAATGAAAAATTAAAGAAAAAGATGAGAAATTAAACCTACAATTTAAAACAGAGATATAATTATGGGACACACGCACTTCATAATAGCTGTATAACAGTAAAACGCAGTTTATTGTACAATACTGCACAGTCGTCATGATAGATGCATAAGAGCTATGGTATACATTACTATTTTAATTATTTGGCTACTGTGCGTTCTTGCAGATTAGTTTTTTAATTTCTTGTAAAAATCAGGGGAAATTAATAAACAAAAACAATGAATGATCAAAATCTGTTATAGTACTCCTTCGTGATTATTCATTTTCGAACACTTCTCTGAAAGATTCGCAATCACATTTAGCTGTAGTGAGAGAATTCAAGATTACAAAAAAAAAAGACATACTGATATACATGCAGCAAAGTTTTAGGCATTTATTTTATTATTTCGACTCGAGAGGAAAAAAATTCTAAAGAAATTGACACAAAACATTTTTTTTCTTCCCAAGATTAATGATTACTTCTGAAAGGACAGAAAATTCCTACCTATGAAGGTAGAAAAAAATGTATCCAGTGGTGCTTTTCGTTTGCACTGATCTTTCACTAATTTGCTCGACCGATTCATCGTCACAAAGGATCCATGTTTTCGATTCGTTACACCAAATATTGGATATATAGTGGCCTGCGGAAAATATTTATTAGCCTTTTCTTCTTCTTAATTACTTACCCAATAATCGAAATTATACAGAATTGTTTGATAAACTAATTTTGAAAAGTGTGAAATTTCAATCCAACCTATCAATATGTTGGAAAAAATGTTTATAAAGCATTAACCATACTTACCACTGTCAACTTCTTCTCCCAAATGATTGACAAATGAAATAAGTCGATATGATGGCTGTGTCATAATTACCTTGAAAACGAAGTCATTAGTTATAAAAATCATTTTATTCAGGTTATCTGGTTCATACCACACTATTTTCGTAAATATTATATTTTAACCTTATTAACTGCCCGTGAAGTTATTTATTTTAGGAATTCGCAGGAGAGAACTTAAAATTTTCATTAATTTATCATGAATTTTGCACAATTGCAAAAACGAATCTTACTCATAAGAAAAATTTAATGCGGAATAACTTACACTGTCGTTAGAATCCATACGACAAAAATGTTCAGTGCTGAGCCAGTTATTCTAAATAAAAATATTCGTATCAAGGTAAGATAACAAGTTCCCTCTCTTCTCCCTCCGGATGAATGAAATACAGAAACATCTGTAATAACTTTCCTCTTTCGGACCCCATATCCCATCCAGAAATTCATGTAAAATCTCTATTATGATATCGCATAAGAAATGCTTTTCTGTTTCTTATGCTAACCGCTATCAGTTCTTGAATTCCAACAGCAAAGCATACCGAAGGTTTAAACACGGGAAAAAAGACGCCATTCTCGTAGTGCAGATAGATACCTTCGTTTTCGCCAATGTGATATTGCTGAATGCTCAAGTCTAAATTCAAAAAGTTTTAATAATGATTTGCGAATTTCAACAATACTTTCAATGAAAATAAAAGATATAAAAAAGATGTAACCGTACAAATTGGAAATTGGTTGAAGTAGTTAAAAAATTTAATCTCTTCATCAATTTTCCGAAAAGATGAAAGTTGACCGAGAGGTTAAATTTAAAAATTCAAAGCAAAATTTACTTTTGCATTGGCCATTTACCACCAGAAACTTGGGCCTATAGCAAAACCATTGTTGTTTATGAAAAATCCAAATATCAACTTTGAACTTCGATGCAAGTGCAAAAAGTTCCACGTCGGAACCATTTTCGGTATTTGAGAATAAAGTGTTCAGGTGGGAATGCCATGCAATTTTATCCCATTGTTTCAGGTTCATAAACTCAGCCGGATGTTCTACTTCAAATTGAATTATCTGGAACAGAAAATTATTTGTTTTGACGATTAGAACTAAGTGTTTGAGATTTAAAATCAGTTAAAATAGCCGTATGACAACATGTACTGGTAGCTGCTCGATTGTACAGTCTTAGATACCAGAAGTATTGTAGACATTTTTCATCTTCAAAAAATTTTAAAGGAAAATTTTTGCAACGAATTTCTGCTACCATAACTTTCGGCATCAACATATAAAAAAGAGCAAATGGAACTAACAGCCTGTCGGATTTGATGGAAATCATTACTATCACCGGTAATATAATGAGCCAGAGCTTGATACAGACGGTTGTCGTTTCCTGGAACAGCAACTAGAAAATCCGGCTCATCATACATACTCATCCAACAAATCGACGACTCTATCCTGAAATATTTTTCAGTTGTGAATACCAGTCGGAAGTTTTTCTTGCTTGATGCCTGTTTTCGAGCAATGTAAAACATTTTCATGATAGAACAAAGCATTATGATAAGCAAATTCATCTTTTTGATCATAAATTACAAAATTAAGCAAAACAGAGCAGATATTTCTCTGAAAAAATTGGATAAAAAGTAGACATACATCCAGTTCTCACGAGGAAATAAGCCAATCAGCGCACATATCTCATTTCGTTTCCCTTCGCTTAATGGTTTGTAAGGAACTGGCTGAAGGCCAAAGAAATCAACTATTTCATCCTTAAAGAAAAGCAACTTTACAGTTTACTTATCATCACAAAGCTTAAAGATTTTAATCGCTTGATTTTATAACTGCGTTGATTTTTCAATGATTCAGAATTTATACGACTACAAGCCATTACTGCTTTGATTTCTGATGATCTATCTCTACAGCATTTTCGAAAGCGCGTCTTTTCAAGACTACCACGTATTATATTCTGGAATAAATATTCAAAACTCACATTGCCCAGATTTTCAACATCTTGACTGGTGTGATGCATTATTGATCTGTTTCTGCGATAGATTATATCCCGATTGCAAAATGCTTCGCGATTAATTTGTAAATATCCGATAGGTATGATTGTCATCTCATGATGTGAAAATTTCTTGTCTGCAAACAGTACAAGAATAAAAAAAGCATTGTAAAGAGAAATAAACAATAAAACTTTACATGTAAGCATTTTTTTCGGTTCGTCTGATGCTGATTTGCACTCCTGAATTTTCTGCTTGCTCTCAGCCTGAAATCCGAATTTAAGACAACAAATTTAAATTTCCACAAAACATCTGACGTAACAGATGAACTATTCAAGCTATTAAAAAAAAAAATTACTAGATTTCTTGGGGGAATATTTTCCTTATTGTCGTTCACCATATTTAGCCAGGTGTCTTCGA